ATTTGTAGGTTATAATAAGATGAAGCTATTTACCAAGTTTCAGCCGAATGTTAATCATTTGATTGAAAAAGGGGTCTGTACCACGTACTATAAGACTTATAATTATAATTAGTCGAAATCAGAATATTTGTATCACTAATGGTGAAAACTGAAAAAGAGTGTCGTGATTAGAAGAAGAAAAAAATGCCCTAAGATTCAGTTTCAATATACAACATCTTCACTCCGTCCGTGGAGATGTCGAAAAAAAAAGTGACCTTCAAAAATAATGAGCCGTTTGGCGTGACGTACACTCCAAACCGTCAAAATAACAAGGTTATATATAACAAACGGTCCAAGATTTTTTTAGGCCACCTTTTATATGGATTTTGTGATCAAATTATCTTACGATTCAAATGGTTATTAATGCGTGTTTATTACCTTGTTAAATATAATGTAGTTTGCCGACCTTTAGATTGAAAACGCCACAATTCCAAAACTTTTCCTAAATAAAATATTTGTAGTTTACGATGAGATGAAGCTATTTACGAAATTTCAGGCGGGTGTTAATAATTTGATAAAAAGAGGTTTGTACCGCGGGCTGTAAGTATATTCTGTCCCATAGGACATAAATAATTATTTCCGTAGTTTTTTTTAATTACTAAATTGTAAACATTTTTTTTTAATTATTTATGATATTTACAACTGTTTTAATAAATAAAATACATTTAGTAAATTTGATAACAGAAAATAATAACATGAAATCACTTGTTGAGAAACTACCCACTGGTAGCACTCTAAAAAAAAAATGTATTTACAATAGGAGATCTCGGGACCATCTTCTTTTCAGACGTCTCGGAGGGTTATCAGAGACAGAAGAGGAAGCAAGATCACAGACGAGAGGATTTGGATGGTTCTGAAGTTTATTATGGAAGGATTGGTATCTGGATTGGGCCAAATCGGAAACATAAGGAACATTAAGGTCCTTATGGATTATTTTATTGGTGACAAAGTAAGGAGCATTGAAAATTTTTCCGAATGATTTCGGATTGTATACGAGAGGAATTCGATGGCTTAGTGGAGCCCCAAAGTCCTAATAACGCTCGATGTTTCCGACTACTCCAACACTTACCAGACAAAGGCTCTAAGCTTCCAGTTAATTACAAAAGACTCATTTACCTGACTACAATTGTAAAATCTAAAATTACATTAAATCATTCGAAATAATTTTTGTTATTATATATTTTGTTATACGGAATTATTAATTTAACGGTAAATTAATTAACACAAGATATTTTTAGTTTTGTTAAACAAAAGGTAATCGATGACGGAACTAAATATTATTAACAATTTATACAGCTATATATAGAAATAGAAAAAGGTGCTAATGACAATGTTGGTCATTCCTGACAGCGTTGAACTGACAGCGTTCTTATCGACTCCTATTTCTCTCTCTCTCCTTCATTTTTCTTTGGCCTTCATTTCCTTTTGGATTCCCTACCTTTCGAGCCTCCATCATCAAACGACTTCCCTTTCTTCACCCTGGTTGCCAATCGATTACTTCGTTCATCTTGTATTTGAACAATATCGGACCTGTCAGTCCCATTTAATGTTATACTACAGATAATTAAATATCATCCACATTATTTATGTGTACAAATATGTGAACTCGCATATCTGAATTTATCTACAATTTCATATGTCTACCAGTACTTTTTTTTTTCTTTTTTTTTTCTCTATTTTAAATTAAGTCGTAAACCAATGACTCCCTGTCCTACAGTGTCCTTTAATAACACCCCACTTATCCGTGATGAACAAATCCGATATCTAGGACTCCACCTGGACAAACGTCTCACTTGGAATCCTCATACAAGACTGAAACGACAAGAAACCACTCGAAGTTTTCGCTTACTCCAACACTTACTAGACAAACGCTCTAAACTTTCAATTAATTACAAAATACTAATATACATGACTATAATAAGACCAATTTGGACTTACGAAGTTGAGCTTTGGGGCTCCACTAAACCATCATGTAAACCGTCATTTTCAAGGGAAGAAACATATTTTAAAATAAAATTCAGAGTGCTGAATTTCGCTGGTAACTAACTTAATATATAACTTTATATATATAACTTAGGGTAGGTATATAACTTAATCGTCTGATACTTGAGTTAAATATAGCTCATATTAATTACTATTAATATAGTTCATTAATACATAATAATATAGCGCATGTTAAACTTTCAATCTAAATGCCATCATACATTATTTATGGAAACTTTAAAATTTAATGAAAACTATTAATGTTTTTTTTTCTATTTATTTAGAAATATAATAATCTGTCACGTGGACAATATATAGTTTGATATGAACACATTCACACCATATATATAGAAAACATAAAATTAACAAAAGTAAAATAATAACTAAATAATAATCAATAAATACATACAATAAAAAATAAAATAACTTATGATAAGTAAAATTAATGTTTTAAAACTCAAATTTATACTAAATCCTTTTCATTAACGTCAATTTTTACCGAATTTCCTGAATATTATTTATAAACCTTTAAATTAAATAAAAACTTTAAATAGTTGATTAATGGAGCTAACATATTGATAATATAGCTTAAAAAATCGCGTTATATTTTCTGAAATAATATCAGGAACTTAAAAAATTTTGCGGATATACTATCGATAATTTGAGTAAATAAGTCGGCCCCTTCACCTCCCTCCACAACCGATGGCATTGAAGCAGTACTTCCTCACATAGGACTGCACCCAAGACCCTTCACGGGTTGTACTGGTACAGGTTTAATATATTATATTGAAGCAGAGGGTCCCTACAAAATAACAAAAATAAACCTAAAACACTTATTTCCCTACAATGAAAATTGTATAATTATTCAAATCAACTTGGAAATAAAATTTCAAACATAAAAATTTAATATGAACTACAATCATCCATAACAAAATGTATTAATCCACTTGAAACTACAAATTGAACGACTCTCTATATCTTTAATGTAACCCACACTAAAATACTTTGCTTTATTCGATATAAAAAGAATAAATCTTTGAATAATGAGAGAGTATGCAACTATTAATTGAAGAAGAGGAATCGTAGTACATAGTGACTCCATTTTAGGTGAAGTTGGAGTAACTTTTCTTCTCAAGAAGATCCCACAACCTACTCCTTTCCTTTTAACCTCCTGCGGGTGTTGGTCATGTGGGTTGCGGTGGGGGTAATTAGTAAGCCCTTATAATTTGTTAGTTACTATTTACTTTTCTTCAATTCCTAACTCTAAAACAGAGGACTTTGGTAAGTTTCTGCGGTCCAATTGTGTTAATTGTGAGCAGTATAGTGTTTAAACTGTAGCTACTCCAGATGATAATTCAAGGTGCTTCATCGAATCTACTCGAAACCTCGCTCCCATTCTTCGATTTTCCAAAATCGAAAATTGATAGATTCCAAGTGAAACTTGATTCTGTCGTGTGAATCATTTGAGAGTTCTTTCCAAGGAATCGACTCTGATTCAATTCTAGATTTACCTGCCCATCTCTAGGCTATCCTAATAGAAATTAATCTATTTCCATCTCAATGAATATTATAAATATTTTAATATATTATATTGAAGCAGAGGGTCCCTAAAACTAACAAAAATAAACCTAAAAAACTTATTTCCCTACCCAATAGATAATCGGCATAGTCATTTCCTCTTCCGCTGTTCGATGTGACGGTCCTGCTTATAGATTCTGGCCTAGCTGTCTTTCCTGCACCAACTCTACTCTCCTATTACAATCCATTCACACTTCTTGTATGCCTCCTTTACACTCCCCTCCTAGGAGATGCGAGGTCATCCTCTGAGCCTTTTCCCTTCCGGGTCTCCTAGATTTTCCTGGCGCTTCTATCTGGATCTATCCTAAGACGATGTCCAAACCACCTTAGTTTGTGTTCCTCCAGAATGGTTTCCGCCGATCTGACGTTGAGATTAGCCCGTATGTATGAATGAAAATAATTTTATTATTCTGGGACTAGTGTCCCTTTAGAACAAGTTACAAATACAGAATGTATATTAATATTTTGGTGTGTCCATAAAATACAATTTAATATTTACAGGTTGATTAAGAACACAATAAAGTTATAAATAATAAATACGTGTAAATATAAAATATACAGAGAAAGTAATTAAGTAAACGAAATATAGATGAATCATAAAATAATCCGAGTATCTGGGTGGACTTTGAGGTTTTTACAGCTTAGGTTTTTAAGTGCAGTTCGTGATCAATCGGATTGGAAATGGAGTAGGTGTTTGAAGAGGAGAAATTTGAGAGAGGATATTGATTTTGCGTGTCGAATATCTGAAGGTATAGAGTTCCAGAGGGAGACAACTTGTATTAAAAATGATTTATCGGACGCAGCAGTTCGGTGAGGAGGAGGATAGAGGTTGGACGCACGGGATCTGGTGGGACGGTATTGAAAGGAGCGTTTGAATTGTAGGATCTGTAGAATATAGGCAGGTCGCCGTGTTGTAATGACTCGGTATAGGAAGGTAGCAAGGAAATATTGACGACGGTAGAACGGATAGAGCCTCTTCAACTTGGTGTAGAACTGGGCAATATGCGTATCCCTTGAGAACCCGAAGATAAAGCGGATTGAGCAATTCATTAGACGTTTAAGTTTGGCTTCGAGTTCTCCCGAGAGTCCACAATACACCATGCAGCCATAGTCGAAGTGGAGGGAAACAAGAGAGGAGACCAGGATTTGACGGGTTTTGAACGGAAGAAGATAACGTAGATGGTTAAACTGTTTCAAAGTGGATATAGTACGGCTTGAAATTTGGGAGGTTGAAAATTGTGTGGTTTCAAAACTGACAGATTTTTCTCCATAATTTTTTTTTAAATTGAATCATTTATTATTTTATTAATTATCAAATACCATGTATTGTTGTATATATATTTATAATGTACTATATATTATTTATACTTTATATATTAATGTGTTGTTAATGTTGACAGGGAGTTGTGACGGGCGGAGGATGAGGAGGTGATGTGCCTCCTCGACAGAAGGCCGGAGTTGGTGGAGCGGTGGCTGGCCCGCCAGAGCGCCGCGGTGAGGAGGCCGTCTGTCACCTCGGAGCTAGCCGCGTCTTGGCTCGCCGCGTCCCCCTTCAAGAGGTCGAGGTCACCCTCCAGGTATGTAGCAGTTTGAGGAAGAGTGGTTACATAAGAAGTTGATGAGCATCTTGAAGAATAGTGGTGATATAGGGAGTTGATGAGCATCTTGAGGAATAGTGGTAATATAAGAAGTTGATGAGCGTCAAGAGGAATAGTGGTAATATAGGGAGTTGATGAGAATCTAGAGGAATAGTGGTAATATAGGGAGTTGATGAGCATCTAGAGGAATAGTGGTAATATAGGAAGTTGATGAGTATCCTGAGGAATAGTGGTAATATAAGAAGTTAATGAGCGTCAAGAGGAATATAGTGGTAATATAAGGAGTTGATGAGCATCTTGAGGAATAGTGGTAATATAAGATGTTGATGAGCATCTAGAGGAAGAGTGGTAATATAAGAAGTTAATGAGCGTCAAGAGGAATATAGTGGTAATATAAGGAGTTGATGAGCATCTTGAGGAATAGTGGTAATATAAGATGTTGATGAGCATCTAGAGGAAGAGTGGTAATATAAGAAGTTGATGAGTATCCTGAGGAATAGTGGTAATATAGGGAGTTGATGAGTATTTAGAGGAATAGTGGTAATATAGGGAGTTGATGAGTATCTATAGGAATAGTGGTAATATAGGGAGTTGATGAGTATCTAGAGGAAGAGTGGTAATATAAGAAGTTGATGAGCATCTAAAGGAATAGTGGTAATATAGGAAGTTGATGAGTATCTAGAGGAATAGTGGTAATATAGGAAGTTGATGAGTATCTAGTGGAATAGTGGTGATATATGTAGTTGATGAGCATCTTGAGGAATAGTGGTAATGTAAGAAGTTGATGAGTATCTAGAGGAATAGTGGTAATATATGTAGTTGATGAGCATCTAGAGGATTAGTGGTAATATAAGAAGTTGATGAGTATCCTGAGGAATAGTGGTAATATAGGGAGTTGATGAGTATTTAGAGGAATAGTGGTAATATAGGGAGTTGATGAGTATCTATAGGAATAGTGGTAATATAGGGAGTTGATGAGTATCTAGAGGAAGAGTGGTAATATAAGAAGTTGATGAGCATCTAAAGGAATAGTGGTAATATAGGAAGGTGATGAGTATCTAGAGGAATAGTGGTAATATAGGAAGTTGATGAGTATCTAGTGGAATAGTGGTGATATAAGAAGTTGATGAGCATCTAAAGGAATAGTGGTAATATAGGAAGTTGATGAGTATCTAGAGCAATAGTGGTAATATAGGGAATTGGTGAGTATCTAGAAGAATAGTGGTAATATAGCTAGTTGATGAATATCCAGAGGAATAGTGGTAATATAAGAAGTTGATGAGTATCTTGAGGAATAGTGGTAATATAGGAAGTTGATGAGTATCTAGTGGAATAGTGGTGATATAAGAAGTTGATGAGCATCTGGAGGAATAGTGGTAATATAAGATGTTGATGAGCATCTAGAGGAAGAGTGGTAATATGAGAAGTTGATGAGTATCTTGAGGAATAGTGGTAATATAAGAAGTTGATGAGCATCTAGAGGAATATAGGGTAATATAGGGAGGAATATACTGGTAATATAGGGAGTTGATGAGTATCTAGAGGAATAGTGGTAATATAGGGAGTTGATGAGTATCTAGAGGAAGAGTGGTAATATAGGGAGTTGATGTGCATCTTGAGGAATAGTGGTGATATAAGAAGTTGATGAGCATCTTAAGGAATAGTGGTAATATAAGATGTTGATGAGCATCTAGAGGAAGAGTGGTAATATAAGAAGTTGATGAGTCACCCTCCAGGTATGTAGCAGTTTGAGGAAGAGTGGTTACATAAGAAGTTGATGAGCATCTTGAAGAATAGTGGTGATATATGTAGTTGATGAGTATCTAGAGGAATAGTGGTAATATAGGGAATTGATGAGTATCTAGAAGAATAGTGGTAATATAGGTAGTTGATGAGTATCCAGAGGAATTGTGGTAATATAGGGAGTTGATGATTATCTAGAGGAATATTGGTAATATAGGAAGTTGATGAGTATCTAGTGGAATAGTGGTGATATAAGAAGTTGATGAGCATCTTGAGGAATAGTGGTAATATAAGAAGTTGATGAGCATCTAGAGGAAGAGTGGTAATATAAGAAGTTGATGAGTATCTAGAGGAATAGTGGTAATATAAGAAGTTGATGAGCGTCTAGAGGAATAGTGGTAATATAGGGAGTTGATGAGTATAATTGGAACCATAGGCGCAGAGATACCATTTTGATTGGAGAGGGCGATGGACATAAAATAGAAAAAAAATAGCGATAATTTATATTATGTTTGAAAACTCAACATAAATATTGAGAATTGAACGGGGGACAGCCTTCATAACATGGTTATATTTCTATAATATTTTCAGCTAAAAAACTCTGGTGTCCATTCACACGACTTTCCTACCTATTTCAGGAATGTTTTGATATCTTTAAATATGTCTATTACGGACTTGAACTGTGGGGGACAGCAAACCTTTGTAACATCAAACGCATCCAATCCTTTCAATCTAAAGTCCTTCGACAATAGTTGATGCTCCTTTTTATGTAACCAACAAAACCATGACCTTAACATCCTATTTGTCTTATACCTTATCCCCGGAAAAGTCTCCAAATTACACCAGAACCTTACCTATCATCCAAATCCCGTTGCACAATTCCTATACAGCACTACACACATCCCTACAATCCTCCTCGCAGATTAAAGCGGCAGTGGCCCAGAGACCTTTTGTGAATAAGTATATATTGGAGTTTTGGCAATGGTCAAATTCTCCACTCAAGCCATGTATGTGTGATTATAGCGGCTGTGCTCAGCCTCTACTGGTCTTTAATACCAGTAGGGTGGCTGAGTGAGGGGCGCTGAGATCTCCTAGAAGTCCTGCCTTTCCTTCCACGAGTGAAGAGAAAGGCTTGGCTAGGAAATCTTGAGTGAATGATTTTTTTTCTTCTTCTTTTAGATATTGTAAAGAACATGTATGTATTTGAGTAGTTATTTTCATTAGCTTAATTTCTTTTTGTTTAGTTTAATTTATATACATTTACTTTTATTGCTATTATTTTTTTGTATTATTTATTTTTATTTATTGTACATCGAGTGTGAATGTGCTCTTTGAACACTATTATAAATGTCCTTAATTGTGACAGATTGTAATATCTCTCAATAAATATGTAATTTTTGAAAAAATATGTCCATTAAGAAACAAAAAAAAAATTAAATTAGATTTATTTTCCTGAAAATTTAAGAAAAGAATTAAGACCAAAGCAATGTAAGCACGCTGGTGTTAGATCAGTGTAAATATTTCAATACCTTCTAATTTTGCTAATCAAAAACTTTTTGTCATAGCCTAATTTTGTCAGAATAATTTCTATGGATGGAAGGAAATAATGAAGCTTGTGTGATGCGGGAAACAGATTTTCTTACTTTCATTTAGTTTTCTTTTCTCTCTCTCGTTTATCCCTTTCTGGCACCGGGATATGAATCCGTGATCTTACATACGAAATTAAATAGCTGTAACTTCTTTAATAAATATCCGAAATCAACTATTTTTATATAGTTTTGTAAGGAATTTCATCAAATTAGAATATATATTTTATTTCATATAACGTAAATAATTCATAAAAACAAACATATTTATTTGTGAATATCTCTTATGGAAAGAGTTTGGGGACATACCTTCAGAGTAAATTTTTGAGGTCCTTAATTCATATTTCCAGTTTGGCCACTTAACCCTGAAACACCCTGTGTATATTAAAAAAAAAGTGCAAATTTCATTGCAAAATTTCATAATGATCGTACTACTCCATACATTTTCTACTTGGCTTGATCCTTCCACAAGAAACTCCAGGTCTATCAGAACTCATTAGTTTTTAACTTTTCTTTCTTTACGATTCCTGATAACGGTTGAAAAGATGGGTTATTGGATATATATATTTTAATTATATCATGGACAAAAGCCTTGTTCAAAGAATTAATCAAAGCAGCAAAGTCAAGCAAATAAAGAGAAAGCTGTTTTCAGTTTGATAGGCTGTAAGGCAAGCACTAATCTTGAGGCAGTAAAATGAGAATGGAATTGTATATTTTAGGTTCAAGCAAATTGCTAACAATAAAAAGCTCTATCAAGGATACGTATAAATACAATGGTTATCTCTTATGCTTCAACTATAAAGGAATAATTGTTTTTGTAGATAGGAACTGAAGGATGCTGATAGATAATGCTGATATTATCTAACATTCATTAGTTTTATAAGAAAAATTAATCTGCTTCCAACCAATTTTTATTAACAGAATTTTAAAGATAATGTATGATGGTTTATTACTTTTTTTATGATGGCATTTGTAACATATTCTGATTTGAACAAGCAGAGAACCAAACTTTGAATCATATTCTGCATTGCCGAAGCAAACATAAAAACTTGGAAACTTGCCTTTTATAATTAAACATGATACCTACAGTTGTTGGCACAAGGTATTCTGTGTTATCACATGTAATGTAGAAATTTAAATTTTTAAAAATTAAAACTTTTAACTATTTCATTCAACATATATAGAATAGAAAATAAACTTTATTCTGGGACGAGGGCCATTAAGAATAACAATTATGAACAAAAAATAAAAACTAAATCTGGCCAAAAATTACATTAATCAAAATTAAAGAATATATACAACATCAAGTGAAAGTATATTAAAACAAATTAAAAAAATAACACTATTTCGAAAAAAAAAACATTATTTAAATGAAAGGAAAAAAATAAATCAGGTAAAATAAAAATCAAACGTTATAAGCACTATAGGTTGATTCTTTAAATTAAAACTCAAACAATTTCAACAACCATTCACCTTAGTCGAAATTTGATTCATAATATTTATTTCATTGTACAACGTCATTTTGGGACGTGAGAAGGAATTGGTAGAGATGATATTTGAATTAGGACAAGGAAGATAGGGCAAGGAATTCCAGAAGGCTGTGGATCGGGCAATAAAGGAATATTCAAATGTCTTAGTTCTATGGGAAGG